TCCTGCCGACTGCATATCTGTTATGTATGGTCCATGTCTTAGAATGATTGGCATAGAAGGATACAGTTAATTTTACTGAGGATTTAAAATGTGCAACCCCACATCCCCTTGTTTTCTTTAGTTGCCAGGGGCAACACACTTCCTAAGCCAGTGCTACCAGGAATGCCCATGGTGGTCAGTTTTCCAGTTCTTTGCATTTATAGGTAAGGACCAAGACTTGGAAGATCAGGGTGGAAGGAGGTTTTCTTCAGGAGCTCCTGAGTCTGGGGATGCAGAGGGCAGGTTTAATACAGTCATGCAGTCCAGGTAGTCAGAGTAATTTGGCAGAAGGTGGCTCCTAGAGGGAGGCAGGACTGGACAAAGGCAGCTAGGGCTCAAGGGTTGGACTAAATTTCCCTTTCCCCAGCGCCACCTTCAGATAAACAAGGGACTAGGACCACTCAGCACTCCAGACTGATTGTGTATCTTCCTAGTTCTGAGAGTGATTCAGTGTCCTGAGGAGTGGCACCTGGACCCAGGAGAACCCACCCAAGGAGAGGCGAAGGAGACAAGCAAGTGCCCCTCCAGCATTCTGCCTCTGTGAAGCTTGCATTCAGGGCCTGCTGCTTTTCTTTCACTCCCCTCCCTCCCCTCCCTCCCCTCCCTCAGATCCCTCACCTCCCTCACCTCCCTCACCTCCCTCAGATCTCTCACCTCCCTCACCTCCCTCACCTCTCTCAGATCCCTCACCTCCCTCACCTCCCTCAGATCTCTTTTCTTTCTTTCTTTCTTTCTTTCTTTCTTTCTTTCTTTCTTTCTTTCTTTCTTTCTTTCTTTCTTTTTCTTTTTAGCAAGGAGTGATTATATTAACCACTACATCTCAGTAACTTTCTTTACCTAATTTCCCATGACATACAGCTCACTAATTCCGCAAACAACATCAGAGACAATTCATGAAAGATGATTTTATAACAAAAGAACAAACCTATTTGGAAATAATTTTTTCAAATGTATTTACAGATAAAATGGAAATGTTTTATTTTGCAATCATAGAAAAATGAGTTCTTTTTAAGAACAATATGGGGCTGGAGAGATGGCTCAGCAGTTAAGAGCACTGACTGCTCTTGCAGAGGACCAGGGTTTGGTTACCAGCACCCACATGGCAACCAACAACCGTCTGTAACCTCCAGTTCCAGGGGATCTGAGGCCCTCTTCTGACCTCTGAAGACGTTGCACAACATGGGTGCACTTTACATACATGCAGGCAATACACTCATACACATATAATAAGACTATTAAATAAAAATTAAAAAGAACTATACTTTAATCCTTCTAAACTCAAGAAATTGCATTATTCCTGTTGAAAAATACAAAATAGTCTCAACTGGCTCTCAACAACTACTGAAATGTTCTGTTTGGTGAGTGTGAAAAATAACTTTAGAAGGTGAAAAGATCATATCTTATCTGTTACTTACCCTTCAAGAATTCTCTGCTTCTCCAGATGAAAGGGAAGAAAATTCCAGTTCCCATTACCACCAGTGCGACAGCCAGGGCTGTAAGTGCCCTCATCCTGGAGCTGAAATGGAGCGAGAGATCATCAGACATTCAACAGCAGGCACAAGGGTGTGGATCTACCATGCAATCCCAGGCTTCTCCTTGGGAGGGTTCTCCTGAGTCCAGGGCTGCCACTCCTCAGGACACTGAATCATCCTCAGAACTAGGAAAATGCAATCAGCCTGGAGTGCTAAGTGGCCTGGTCCCCTGTTTATATGAAGGTGAAGCTGAAGAATGGGAAATGTATCTCCTCTGATGTGTATGTGGAGCACATAAGTAACAGGAATTCAGTACTAATGAAGGTGGTAAATAAATCCCAGATGCTTACTACCTTTCTTACAGCCTTCTGGTTCTCATGAAGTGATTTCAGATAAAGCAGAAGGTCCAAAATTGGTCATGCCCACTGTCTAAGTCTTGGTTTTCTTAGTCTTGGACTCCCTGCAGCTGTTTTTAAACTCCCAACTTTGCTAACCAGAGAGGCATTAACCAGAGTATCCCGAGGGGAACCCACCATAACCAACAAGGGTCTACAAGCTGATCAGACATGACCCAGCACACCCAAGCTGAAGTCATGGGAACAGGACACTGTGAGGCAATGGGCTTTCCTGGGCAGGTTTATCCATATGCCACTCAGCCTGGTAATGGCCTCCTGCACACGACATTACACTATTCATGATAGATTTCTCTTAGAAAATGGGAGAATCAAAAGTTTTACAGCCTGACCTTTTTCCTTCTCTTAGCTGAGGAGGCAGGTGTGCACAGCTGGGTGCATTCTTTGTAGCCTTAACTGCTGAAATGTGAACCTTGATTACCTTCTGAGGACTTGGTCACCCGCTATATACACCGACTTTGTGCTCTGATGCCCACTCAAGGCCCTGACGAGAGTGACTCTGCTTTATGTTTGCTCAGCATTGTGTTTCTGCCAAGTTCTTGTGTTTCCTGGATGGTCAGAAAGCAGGTGCCACTCATAGGTACCACATACCATCCAAGTTCTGTGCATGTAAGCTAGAAAGACAGAAAGAAGCTTGATGTGTTACGAAAGAAGACACCTATTAAAATCAGTCCCTTCGGCATTGCGCTTTTCCCTACCACTTTTCTGAGATGATGCAGAGGGGCCCCTGCCTCCCAAGACATGGAAGTAGGAGGGAGGCTTGGGAGGAAGAAGGAATTTGGTGGGAGGGGAAGAGACAAAAGAGGTTAATGGAGGGACTTGGATCAAAGAACATCATATGTATACATATATATTAAATTATAAAAGAATAAATTTTAAAAATACTGCCTTAAAGAGAAGATATGAGTTCTACAATATCAGCTGGACTGGGTCTCCAGTGACACCAGCAACTTGAGACTGTTACTGAACATCCCTTAACCACCAAGGTCTTTATGTGACCACTGCTCTCTTCAGTCCTCTTCATAGCCTCTCCTCATCCTCTCTCCATCCTCTCCTCACATCCTCGCTTCATCCTCTCCTCACATCCCCTCCTCATCCTCTCCCCACCCTCTCTTCACATCCTCACATCCTCTCCCCATCCTCTCCTCACATCCCCTCCTCATCCTCACTTCATCCTCTCCTCATCCTCTCCCCATCCTCTCCTCACATCCCCTCCTCATCTTCTCCCCATCCTCTCCTCACATCCTCAATTCATCCCCTCCTCATCCTCTCCTCATCCTCTCCCCATCCTCTCCCCATCCTCTCCTCATATCCTCACTTCATCCTCTCCTCATCCCCTACTCATCCTCTCCCCATCCTCTCTCCATCCTCTCCTCACACCCCCTCCTCATCCTCTCCCCATCCTCTCCTCACACCCCCTCCTCATCCTCTCCCCATCCCCTCCTTATCCTTTCCCCATCCTCTCCTCACATCCTCGCTTCATCCTCTCCTCAATCCTCTCCTCATCCTCTCCCCTTACATCCTCTCCTCACAACTTCTCCTTACATTCTGCCCTCACAAACTCTCCTCAAATCCTGAGATTTTTGTGATGAGATTACATCCTCTCCTCACAACTTCTCCTCACATTCTGCCCTCACAAACTCTCCTCAAATCCTGAGATTTTTGTGATGAGATAGCTTAAGATCTCCGTTAGACAACTTCAGAGAAACAACACAATATACTACAGTCACTGCTCAGAAACTTAGCTCTTTAGAACTTGTCTTAAACATGAAACTTTATACCCTTGGATCAGCACCTTCTTAGTTCCCATCCTTACCCTGGAACTATCTTCTATTTTTCACTTCCATGAACTTGACATTTTAATGTTCTACATGTGAGAAAGATGGTGAAGTGTTTGTCTTTACATTTCTGGGTGTGGTCTCTCTTTCTCTCTCTTTCATTTATAAACTTGGTTGTGTTTATTTTAAGAGAAGAAGAATATCTTTAGTTTTTAAAGAGTTTTCCACACTGTTTTCCATGAGGCTGCATGAGTTTGCAATCCCACCAGCAGTGAATGAGTGTTCCCCTTTCTCCACATCCTCGCCAGCATTTGGTATCATTTGTTCTCTTGATCCTAGCCAGTCTGATTGCAGTAAAGTGATACCTTAGGGTGGTTTTAATTGGCATTTTCCTAATTACTAATGATGTTGAACACTTTTTGAGATGTTTCTTAGCCATCTTTATTTCTTCTTTTGAGAACTCTCTTCTGTTTAGATCTTTAGCTCGTCTTTCAATTGGGTCATGTGGTTTATCGATTCTTTGTTTTTTGAGTTCTTTATATATTCTGGATGTTAAACCTCTGTCAGAGGTGTCACTGGTGAAGATTTTTTTCCCACTCTGTGAGTTTTCACTTCACTTTTTGATTGTTTCTTTTGCTGTATGGAAGCTTTTTAGTTTAATGAGATCCCACTTATTGACTGCTGACCTTAATTCCTGAGCAACTTCTGTCTGATTTAGAAAATCCTTTCCTCCACCTATATCCTGTAAGTTACTACCAATATTTTCTTCTAATAGTTTCAGGGTTCCCAGTTTCACATTGAGGTCTTTGATCCATTTGGAGGTGAATTTTTTGCAAGGTAAAAGATAAGGATCTAGTTTCATTCTTCTGCACGTGGAGATCCAGTTTTGTCAGCACCATTTGTTGAAAATGATGTCTTTCCTCCACTGTGTGTTCTTGGCACCTTTGTCAAATATGAGGTCGCTGAAATTGCATGTACTCATGTTTGGATCTTCAATGATGTTCCATTGATCTATGTGTCCATTTTTGTGCCAATACCATGCTGTTTTTAAGACAATAGCTTTGCAATGCCTTTTGTGATTAGGTATAGTAACCTTCCCTGTGTTGCTCATTGTGCTCAGGATTTCTTTGTCCACCCTGTTTGTTTTGGAATTCCGTATAAAATTTAGGGTGAATTTTTTTTTTAATCTGTGA